TAATTTAAGTTCAACATAAGTGCAACATAATACTTGTGCTTATTTTTTTTATCTTTTTTTTTTTTTTAGACTGCCACATTTCCAATATCCTTCTTCGAGGATCGAACCCGTGGGAACGTCGAAAGTTCCTTATTCTCATGCAAGCTTTTCCTGGAGCCAAGGAAAAAAAAGATATACCAAAAAATCGCTTTATTTCCCTTTCATTCCTTGTCCGAGAGTTAATTTCCACAGTTCGGCCGTGGCATGGCCTTGTATCCGGCTCCGCATTCTTGTGGAATTTGTGGGATAGGTATTTCGGACTTAGGAAATGAGGGTTTAAAATAGGATAGTGGTTCTAGCTTGCATGAGGACGGAACTACTTCAGCAAGTCATTTCTCTTCGCTATTCAAAAGCAGCTCTTACCGTACTCGTGTGCTGCAGATCGATTCCTTGTAATCGGATTATCAAGTGTTCACATCGAACGTTTAGAACGTTTCAAAGTCAGAAATAGAGCGATTGCTGAGTGATAAATCGGAGCGAACTACTGTAGAATTCCACGAGAAAGGCGAGAGCGATATTTGGAAGACCTTTAAACTCATTTTCGCGGATGGAATCCGGCAAAACTTCGTGCAGTGTGAACAGCGCAATTCTGTTATTGCATACTCGGGGATGAACTCGTCCCAGCCGAAAGCAACGCGACCTAAACCGGCGACAGATGAATGTCGCCTCCACGAAGCGGAAGATTCCCCGCAACCCTCCCCTGCAATCCGCCGCAACCCTCCCCTGCAATCCCCCGCAACCCTCCCCTGCAATCCCCCGCAACCCTCCCCTGCAATCCCCCGCAACCATCCCCTGCAATCCCCCGCAACCAGGTTCCAGAAAGTGAAGGAAGTGACTGCAACTTTCATCGCTTAAGACCTCCGACCTTTTGGTATAGTTGACGGAGAGGGATTCCGGAAGCTTGCTCAGGAGCTGGTGAACATCTGGGCTGATTATGGACGACACGATATCGGAGATATTCTGGCTCAACGAACAGCCATATCTCGTTTTCATCTACCTCATGCTTACCTACCCACCATCTACCTCACCGCCAATCGAGAGATCTTGTTAGCAACGAAGTGAAGAGTTTTTCAACAGACCTCTGGAGCGATTCTTGAACGCAACGGTCATTTCTCACTCTCACTTCTCATTTTATCGATGAGGATTTCGTTCTTCGCGAGAGAAACTCATGAAGATCATAGCTAGCTTCACTGGAGATGAGGAGTCTGCGGAGCTGAAAATGCTCGAGAGCATCTCCGTCACCGACAATGGTGTTAACATCGTCTCAGCATCATCCGGCTATGAAAGGATAAGCTGTTTTTGCCTTGACCTTAACCCAGCCATGCACGATGTCTTCGACGATGCGATGCATCTCGTGCAGTGATTCGTGCAGTCGGGCTCGAATCCACATTTGTCGAAAACGTTGAAGCAGGAAGCAATTACAAGGCGGAACTCAATTTTCACGATGCCGGACGGCGTCTCCGAAAGTTGGTACGAATCTCAACAAATTCTTGCGTGGCGACTTACCCGTGCAAAACTTCTGGAGGTCACAGAGTTTTTGAAGCTTTTCAAGGAGTCATCGGCGGATACGAGCTCGGGAAAAGAAGGTGACCCTCCCATATACTGTGCTATGGAAATGTAAGCTGGAGGAACATTCCGGAGTGACGTGCGAGGACTCCAGCGAAATGAGGAAATTGAACGATGTGAACGATGCGTCGAAGATTAGAGCCTTGTGATCTTCATTTCGCGGCACTTCTCTTCGATCCTAAATTCAAGAGCTTCAAAATGCTCTCAACAGCTGACAAAAAAAGTCAGCTCGTAGGAAACTTCGGTCCTTCCTTTCTATGGCGTCTACTGTTGCAGGCCAAGGTTGCGAGAGAGACCGTGAAGTTGCCTGCGCGCGTGAGGAAAGTAGGGACGTTATCCTCGACGAAAGAAATGAGTTTTTTTTTTCGGAGAATTTGCTGACTCTGAGGAGGAATCGCAGCTAAATGAGCTCGACTTGCAGGAAAGGAATTTGGACGTCGACCAAGATGTGCTCGTTTGCTGGGAAAACCAAAAGGAATTTCTTGAACTGTGGAAAGCGTCAAAGAAGGTGCTTTGCGTTCCCGCAAGTTCGGCCCCAAGCGAGAGAGTTTCTTCGAGCGCTGGACGAATTCTGGAAGAGAGGAGGACCACCGTTCTCTCCGAAAATGTGGATATGCTGATATTTCTGCGCAAGAATTTGTGAACGTGGACGTACCACAGGAATAAAGGGCCATTTGCCTACCACACACTTACTTGCTCAATTTACTATTTACATACAATACCAGAACAAATAATTGAAATTATTTTCAACAAAAAACGAAGCGGTGACTATCACAAGTGAAATCACTCACGCGCACACCTCTATTTCTAACCTCGTGACATTTTTGCAAAGCGGAAAGTCGGCGCTCGGTCGAAGCAGCTGCATTCGCCGGAACTTGCTGAAAGGAATCGCTGAAAGGAATCATGGACGACACGTGCTGCATGAAAAAAAAACGCGAGATCACGACATGAAAACTGAAATTCTCAATATTTCTTCCACGTTTTCCTCCACCTTCGATGCTTTTTCCTCATCTGGAGAATGAAAAAGTCCGTGAGCCGAGACTCTTAAACGTCGAAGAGAGGATGGTGCCAAACCTGACGATAGAGATCAACCTTGAATATTTTTCGGTTGGAGAATTGCACCAAAAAAAATAAAAAAGAATTGAACATTGATAATGATACAATGACTTGGAGCTATTTCGATTGTCAAACTGGTCCGCTCATTGATGGACCATCCGCCATGATAATCTGAAAAGATAAGGATGATTTGTGTTAGAAAGGGGAGGGGATGACTCGAGGGAAAGTGTCCACTAATCCATTACTGAACTCACTAATGGGATTTTTATTTGTGAATTCCGCGAAGTAGTGTAGGAAACGGAAGAACGGCATTTGGAAAGGTGGTTGACAAGAATTAGCTAATGGGGGTTCATTTCGTCAAAGCAACAGTGGAGTACAGCGCAGGACTGGACGAGAAGGGGGAGTTCGTGAACCGGGAGCATGCCACATTCATGGCGTTCTCGTTGGCGGTCGTCTTTTCGGGCATGGTGGATCTGGCCACCTTTTTTCGACTGGGGGTGCCGAAGGACTTCTCGTACGTGACCACCTTCTTCATCCCCTTTTCCGGATGGTACATCTACAGGGCCAACGGACGGGTGCAGGGACACGGTCACATGCACATGGACGTCGAACAAGGGGTTCGTTGCTCTTGTTTCCCCATCACTAACGTTAATCTAAGTCATTTTGGGAGGTGTCGATCCATTCAGGCACTTTCCAACGTGGCGAAATTGCCACGCGAAGCATGAGTGACGCATAAAATGGAAATCGGAAAAGATCGGCTGAACGTCACCACTTAACCTCGTATCTATAGTCTGAACCCGTCTTCGATGCGATTACACAAAAAGAGACGACGTCGTTGCAGATGGGGCACCTGATAACGCTGAGCTACCTGTTGCTGGGAGTGACGGTGCTGCTCGAGTCTTGGGAACGGGGTCGGACGTCGGTGGTGCTGTCCCTCCTGCGACCGATGGCCTCCATCCAGCTGGGCGTGGCTTACATGCTCAGCAGCTTCCTGGTGTACAACCCCTGCTGCAGGTGGGAGGCAGAACTGCACGGGGACCGTGCCCTCCCGCTCCTTCAGTCGATCTGGTGCGTGTTGTTCCCGGCCAGCGCCACGTTTGTGATCGCTGTATACGCCGCCGTCACGTGGGCTCGCAAGCAGTACAAAGGCGAAGATTTTCCGCACGACCGACTCAAGAGCCAGGTACCGAGAGATCATTTCCATTCAGGCAATTATTTGCGACTGTTAGACTTTAATGTCGGCGAAAGCATCGGGAGACATGAGAATACGAGTTTAGTTTGGCAGCCATCAATGTACCTAACCCTCTTAGCCAGTTGCAATGGAAAAATTCCATCTTCAGTTCTTTCCGATTCACCCTTTTTTCCTCTAAATTTCCATGGCCGAGTACCTCGTGACATGGACCAGGTTCAATAAAGTAGTTGTATCCTTGAAAATCGTTAAATTCATTTTCTACTAAAGAATGATGTATGTTCCGGGATATTTTCTCATTTATTGTTGAAAGTTTATACCTCCTCAAATGTGCACGTTATTATTTCCAACATTTCTTTCATTTCCATAATATATATTGCATTTATGCAATTGAAAAGGAGAAGCCAAATTTGCTAAATCAGAAATCGCTCAGAATGTCTCTTCTTTCAGATGATATAATGGTAATAGCAAAACTAAATTATTTGTTTGCTTTTTATAATCTCATTAGGAGGAGAAGATGGCCCTGCTCCAATCCGACAGCTCGGAGGAACCCTGCTTCTGAAAAATCATTTCGTTTTTTTCCCTTTTCTTTCATCCTTTGACACCACTGAACTCAATTCGGAAAAAAAAAACAGGTGCACTCTAGTCATTCTGGTTTTTGCTTTGGGGAGAAAAATCCGCCGGATATGTGCGATGCAATACCTGACGGACGCGATACACATTGACGCAGCCCTTGCGCGTTTTCGTCGCGACACTTTGCACTTGAGGAAGCGGGTCCATCTCCATTCGCGAAAATTCCATCGAATCTAAATTAAAATTTTCGTCTGGGCAAAAACGAATGAGGTGAAAATGGGTAATTCCGGATTTTCATATCTTTTTAGAAGAACTTGTTATTTGTTCCGCTCTTCCTTCACAGTCAGAATATTAGATAAAAACCGATATTCCTAGTGATCCTGGATTGAATCGATTTCATTTGAAATGATGACTTTGGTTTTTCTTTTGTCTTGAAAACTGAATTGCCCATCACCTTCAGGCGGCGGGGACAGGTGTGGCAGTCTTTTCTTTTTTTTCTCTGAGAGAGGTCTTTTCATGACATCCAGGAGATTTGCTNCACAGTACGACCGACGGAGACGATGGCACCCGGAAAGGCAGTGGGCGAGCTTGCAGCCGGCTGCATATGGACTCTGGCTGGCCTCTGGTGGATGGGGAAGGTGCTGTCCCGCTTTTATCGCAAGGGACCGGACTCCTTCCGGGCCTCGTCCTTCTACTGCATCCGGGGAAAGCGGATCCCCTTCGAGCCCGTCGCCAAGTTCGTCATTGGGATCATATATTTCTTCGGTAAGGCAGTGATTCCTTCTCAGCTTTTCATTTGATTTTTACGTTGAAAGTAAAGAGACAATGGCCAAAGTCGCGAAATGTCTAAATATACAGCAGGATTAAAGCCGAAGGATATGAGAATATTCATTCAGAATAACCAAGTTGAATGGAGACATGGAGACATTTTGGCGAGGCGGAAAATCGCACTTGATTACTGCAAAACAGCTGCATTTATCATAATTTGCTATTCATAGCGCAAAGGAAACATGTGTCGTCTCATGCTGCATGAAGAAAAAAACATTCAAGATTGCAACATGAAACAGCAATTTCCAATCTTATTTCCACAAGTCACTGTCATCCATCTATTTTCCTCATTTAAAGAATGAATACATCCGTGAGAGAGCTGAGACCCAAGGCGTCAAGCGTCGAAGAGAGGAAAAATTATGCTAAAAATGACATCTCGGAAGATGGTTGACAATAATTATCTGATGTCCATTCCGTCGAAAACCAGGGGAGTACAGCGCAGGGCTGGACGAGAAAGGGGAGTTCGTGAACCGGGAGCATGCAACATTCATGGCGTTCTCGTTGGCGGTCGTCTTTTCGGGCATGGTGGATCTGGCCACCTTCTTTCAACTGGGGGTGCCGAAGGACTTCTCGTACGTGACCACCTTCTTCATCCCCTTTTCCGGATGGTACATCTACAGGGCCAACGGACGGGTGCAGGGACACGGTCACATGCACATGGACGTCGAACAAGGGGTTCGTTGCTCTTGTTTCCCCATCACTAACGTTAATCTAAGTCATTTTGGGAGGTGTCGATCCATTCAGGCACTTTCCAACGTGGCGAAATTGCCACGCGAAGCATGAGTGACGCATAAAATGGAAATCGGAAAAGATCGGCTGAACGTCACCACTTAACCTCGTATCTATAGTCTGAACCCGTCTTCGATGCGATTACACAAAAAGAGACGACGTCGTTGCAGATGGGGCACCTGATAACGCTGAGCTACCTGTTGCTGGGAGTGACGGTGCTGCTCGAGTCTTGGGAACGGGGTCGGACGTCGGTGGTGCTGTCCCTCCTGCGACCGATGGCCTCCATCCAGCTGGGCGTGGCTTACATGCTCAGCAGCTTCCTGGTGTACAACCCCTGCTGCAGGTGGGAGGCAGAACTGCACGGGGACCGTGCCCTCCCGCTCCTTCAGTCGATCTGGTGCGTGTTGTTCCCGGCCAGCGCCACGTTTGTGATCGCTGTATACGCCGCCGTCACGTGGGCTCGCAAGCAGTACAAAGGCGAAGATTTTCCGCACGACCGACTCAAGAGCCAGGTACCGAGAGATCATTTCCATTCAGGCAATTATTTGCGACTGTTAGACTTTAATGTCGGCGAAAGCATCGGGAGACATGAGAATACGAGTTTAGTTTGGCAGCCATCAATGTACCTAACCCTCTTAGCCAGTTGCAATGGAAAAATTCCATCTTCAGTTCTTTCCGATTCACCCTTTTTTCCTCTAAATTTCCATGGCCGAGTACCTCGTGACATGGACCAGGTTCAATAAAGTAGTTGTATCCTTGAAAATCGTTAAATTCATTTTCTACTAAAGAATGATGTATGTTCCGGGATATTTTCTCATTTATTGTTGAAAGTTTATACCTCCTCAAATGTGCACGTTATTATTTCCAACATTTCTTTCATTTCCATAATATATATTGCATTTATGCAATTGAAAAGGAGAAGCCAAATTTGCTAAATCAGAAATCGCTCAGAATGTCTCTTCTTTCAGATGATATAATGGTAATAGCAAAACTAAATTATTTGTTTGCTTTTTATAATCTCATTAGGAGGAGAAGATGGCCCTGCTCCAATCCGACAGCTCGGAGGAACCCTGCTTCTGAAAAATCATTTCGTTTTTTTTCCCTTTTCTTTCATCCTTTGACACCACTGAACTCAATTCGGAAAAAAAAAACAGGTGCACTCTAGTCATTCTGGTTTTTGCTTTGGGGAGAAAAATCCGCCGGATATGTGCGATGCAATACCTGACGGACGCGATACACATTGACGAGCCCTTGCGCGTTTTCGTCGCGACACTTTGCACTTGAGGAAGCGGGTCCATCTCCATTCGCGAAAATTCCATCGAATCTAAATTAAAATTTTCGTCTGGGCAAAAACGAATGAGGTGAAAATGGGTAATTCCGGATTTTCATATCTTTTTAGGATAAGAACTTGTTATTTGTTCCGCTCTTCCTTCACAGTCAGAATATTAGATAAAAACCGATATTCCTAGTGATCCTGGATTGAATCGATTTCATTTGAAATGATGACTTTGGTTTTTCTTTTGTCTTGAAAACTGAATTGCCCATCACCTTCAGGCGGCGGGGACAGGTGTGGCAGTCTTTTCTTTTTTTTTCTCTGAGAGAGGTCTTTTCATGACATCCAGGAGATTTGCTCAGAGGCAATTTTCTAGCGGTCTTGAAAAGAAAAATTTAATGGACGATGATATCATGCACTATACTTTCGCTCAGTCAGCTGTATAGCGATGGTCCTTTTGCCAAAATGAAGCCCTAAATAAGCTTTTTTAAGTGGAAGAGACATGCTCCAGAACTTGCCCAAGAGTGGAATTGAGCCACCGGGAAGAACGTATCTCCCAACACCTGTCGCCGCCGTCTGAAGGGCTGCTCGCTTTACAAGGCAAAGAAACACCACTGTTGACGTTAAACATGAAGAAGTGCCGAGTCGAATGGTCAATGAGTTCAAGAAATGGCCATTGGCAGTCTGGAATGAAGTGGTATGGAGCGACGAATCCAAGTTCACCATCTGCCTTGGGGATCACTGCAAGAGAGATGTACGAATGACGAGGCTTTTCATCCCGATTACATCAACCCGATGGCTTGAAGCCATATTCCACCTCCATATGCTGGTTTTCGAATCATTGGCGAGTGGTCTTGCCGGCGTGACATCAGGCACCATCCTGCTGGAAGACGAAGTCGTCTTCAGGGTGCAGTTCTTCCACCGATGGGATCATGAGATTCTCCAGGATTTCGATGCATTTCTTGTCGTCAACCGTCTCATCGATGAACAGCAGCTGGCCGACTCCTTTGCTGTTCGTGCAGCCCCACACCAACAACCTGCCAGGGGTGCAAAGTTATCGACAATATTGAGGTTCTTTTGCTGTCCAGTTATTTGAAAAACTGAAGAATAAAAAAGAGATGGCAAAGAAAACCAGCTTGCCCGAATCATTTTGGAAGAGAGTATTGAACAAAGAAACCACGTTTCGTAGAAAATCTGCCTATTACTGTAGGATGGAATTGGCAGGCGCGCGCGTACACACAAGCACGCAAGCACGTGCACAATATCGTGCGTACATGCATGCACAGACGGACTCATGCACCTACTGTATGTGCAGCCATGACCATATCAGCTTTTGGAGAATATATTCAAAATCTCTCGTGTGCCCAGAGACATTGGGAGCTCAGATTTTCAGTCTTCTCTTAATATTTACACTACATACCTCCCTAACAAAATAGATATTTTGCATGAAATTCGATTATTGCCCGTTCCACCTTTGTGCAAAATTGAGTTTTGGTTCAGAAGGGGTTTATACTTCCCAAGACTCCAGCTTTCCGAGACCACATGCAGTCTTTTTTACTCTGGCTTCGTTTGGCACTCATCTGGCCAAGCGAAATCGATCGTGGACTCCACGGTGCACGAGTGAGATCGACTTCTTGAGACTCGGCTTTTGCAACGTCACGAAAGAGAGGAAAAAGAGAAGACAATAAAAGAGCACGGATGAGTTGTTTTCGTCTTCGTGTCCGTTAACGTCAGCTAGAACAGGATCAACATGATGACTGGATGTTCGAAAAGAGCAGAGTCGAAGGTCGGAGGAAAGACAAAAGGAGACCAACCAGGGATGAGAATGACGACCTAGCCAGACCCCATTCGCGTCTCGCTTCCATCTCGTATCAGAAGCCCCTCTCCCTTGCGAATCACACAGTACGACCGACGGAGACGATGGCACCCGGAAAGGCAGTGGGCGAGCTTGCAGCCGGCTGCATATGGACTCTGGCTGGCCTCTGGTGGATGGGGAAGGTGCTGTCCCGCTTTTACCGCAAGGGACCGGACTCCTTCCGGGCCTCGTCCTTCTACTGCATCCGGGGAAAGCGGATCCCCTTCGAGCCCGTCGCCAAGTTCGTCATCGGGATCTTATATTTTTTCGGTACGGTCGTGATTTCTTCTATCGTTGACGAAACCGTTTCGAGTGGGCAAGCAGCTACCGAATTGAGAAGTATGAGAACGTAAGAACTACGAAGGTTGCAGAAAAAGTTCATAAAATAGGTTTTTTTTTTGTCAGGACACCCATACCTTTCACTTGAAGGTGACACGGTTCCTTGAAAAGTCTTCCACCGTGAGTCTATGCACTAGTTCCAGCGAGGGAAGGGAGGGGGAGGGGTCATTACGCGTAGGTCTGTAGTCTGTCTCTCAGAAGAGACTTAAGCTTACTTGTCATGGGACTCATGATTGCGTCCCGATCGGCTAAACTGCCTCTCTTCGACATAGAATCGATCCACGGAACGAGGAAACGATGAAAGGGTACCCATTCCAGTTCATAAGCTGGATGGTCGATGATCATAATTAAGAGGCACGTCAGCAGGTTAGATAGAGCGATGGCGCAAAAATGACCGTTTCGTTCTGCTGAGATTTTTCGCCAACCTCATTTTTTAATGCAAAATTTTAAGTGCCGCTTGATTGCCATCGGCCAGCCGCTCTCTTCACGGGAATCGGCAACGAGCGACCCTTTCCTCTCGCCCCGACTCGATCCCACGCCGAAGGACAAAAGCTTCGCAGGTCGGGGCGCAATCGCGAGTCCCACGACGAGCGAGCTGCAGACCCATCCGATGGTCGGACGGCGTACGCACATGGCCGTACGCACGCGTGGCGACGCTACATCCGATGGAACACGAAATGTAGACTCAGGCGGACGATGTTTCAGGCCGCAGGGCTTTCCAACCTTTTTCAAGCGCGATTCCAAAAAATCACGATGATAACATTCAGGACTCCAAGCACTCAAGAAAAACGTCACATCATTTAGTTGCCGCGACTGCAAATATGATCTTGGCGACCCTAAATGGGGTTGTGACCTATGGATTGAGCGGTCCTTTCCTAGGGAATCCTGTCACCTTGGAGTGAGGTCCTGAAAAAAAATATTACGAATTAAAAAAAAAATAAGCACAAGTATTATGTTGCACTTATATTGAACTTAAATTACAATAGGATATACAACACGTGGAAAAATTATTTAAAACCGAAATGACTTTCGTGAGGAATCCAGTGAGCTTGGAAGACATTCCCCGAAGGACCTTTCCAATACTTTCCAATTGGCTTTTCACCTTTTGGATGAAGGTTGCTTTGGTTGGGTGCTTTGGGCTCTTCTTTTTTTCCATATTTATGTTTTAAAGTGAATGAGACCATGGCTAACGTCGTTGAGCAAAACGTTTAAGGAATTACACAGCAGGATAACAACCGGTGAAAATGGGAATATTTATTCGGAGTTTTTCGGTCAATTTATTTCTTTTCTCCGATTTGAAGTTTCTAACTAGAGGTGTGCGTGAGTTCACGCGTGATTCACGCGGGACTCACAACCTTTTTCGCGAGTCGTTACTCGCATAGAGGCTTGGAGAATGCCTTTGTCGTGATCGTGAGTATTTTTTTTTTTTTTTTTTTTTTTTTATTGCCTTTTTTTTTTTTTTTTTTTTTTTTTTTTTTTTTTTTTTTTT